TTCGCCCTTCGCGGCAACAAGGCTATGGACCGCGGGCAAACGCTGAAGAAGCCAACTGTCCTCCTGTTGGCCGACGACGTAAAGGCCTGGACATCAATCCAAGCAGCCCAGTCGTCATGCAAAAGCAGTGTACCATGCCATGCAAAGCACAGGTGCACGGCTGGGTGGTTTGCCGCCATGCAGCAACGCCTTCCCACACAATGGTCGGTCGCTTGGAACTCGACACGGAGCGTGACCACCACTTCATATCTCCTTGGCGATTTCGTGGTCATCCGCACGGCGTCAACTGTAAGGATTGACGTTGGGATCCCGCATGGCATGAGCTGGGATGTGGAGCTGGATTTCCAGCACATGCTGGCTGTGGGTGGTGCGCGACGACCTCAGACATTTCGTGTGCTGCGCCGCGGTTTGTAGCCAGGCGCCTTATGCGTTTAACATATTGCAGAAATTCATTTACGCAGCTCAATGCGCCAGCCAGCTGCGCCAGGTGCCGCGTCAACGATGTGCCGGTCCATTCCGACAATTTTGGTCTCCGTGGAGGCTTCGGCAAGTTGATGGAAGAACGCGTCGCAAGGCACAGGGAGTCGACGCCGCATCTCGGGAAAACGCGGGACCCAGTGTAGACGTGTCGCGCTGGTGGTGATGCGAGTGCTGGTGGTGGTTTTGGTAGTGCTTCTGCTGCTGGTGCGGGTAGCGGTGATGGTTGCGGTAGCAAAAAACTTGCCCGGAAGGCCGCGCACCACAGATGCAGGCGACTGCTTTACTAGTCCGTCTGCTGAAGGTGCCCTTGTCCAGAATCCATGTCACTTGCTTTGCACTATAGTGTTACAGCTGTAAGAAGAGTAATTAATACCGTTGGGTAATGCTATCCAAAAAACACTACGATTATATTGGTAGCAGGCAGGCTCATGCCGTGATTGTTCTTGTAGATTTCTAAGCGCTGTCTGATGAAGGCCGGGTCGAACCAGTCGATGCGGCCTGCTTAAACACCAGCCTGGGTGCTCGCAGAAGGGTGCTTGCAGAATGCGCCTACTGTTGGTCTATCTGATGTGATTCCTGTTATTCTCGTCATGGGCACGACATGGTTATCAGCAAGCTATGATTACTTTGGTACTGCTGACGCTGTTAGTTTTATCTTCTCACTCTGGCATTTGTAGACAGCGGTCCATCCAAACCCTCCGCAGAGCTTCGCAGTTAAGCTTGATGCCAGAGAATAAGGTGGGCCCTTGCACGAGGCCACATTTTGTTAAGATGATTGAGAAGCATGAGCCAGCGTGGCCAAATGATTTTAGAGATATTTTCCCATTCGCAAGGTGAGGTACGCTTGCGTGTCGTGTAGGTTTAGCTGTATTAGCGCCAACGCACTTAGGCGAACCATCTAATACACCGTTGGAATTTTACCTGTTGTGTTTCACCCTACTGTTAGTTTATTGTGTGTATGACCTGATAAAATATTTTAGGTGTGTTAGCAATGGCTGCGCTTCCATTTGGATTAATGTCACAGCACAAGTACTACGCCAAGGACAGGAAGACAGCGACGTCCGAGAAGGACGCTTCCTCAATGTCCTTCTTCTTCAAGGTCAAGGGCGCAGAGAAGCGTGCTGAAATCCACGGGTATGACATCAAGACTAGGGTCGCATTCGTCCGCGACGCTGGGGCATTCGCTCTTGGTTTCAAGAAGTACGGGGAGATTTCACATTTCACCATTGTGCGTGGTGGTCGTGCAGTGAGTACTCAATCCTCGTGGAGCGGCAAGCGTTTCGCCGGCAAGACCGTCAAAAATGGGGACGCCTGCAAGGTCAGGTAAAGTGCTTGAGGGGGTTTCCGACATTAGGGGTACCTTATTGGGGTCGTTGTTAGAAGGGGATGCTACTATTTGGGGGCCAAAATTGGGGCCCTATTTTTCGTAGAGGTTGGAGGCCTTCGGTGACCTGCCAAGGTCACCATGGGCTCCGACCCACTTGGGCCCTCTCCCATCAACCCTCAATCCCGTACTAAGCCCCGAAATGCCCTTGAAACCCCAAACCCGTAAACCCGTAAACCCGTAAACCCGTAAACCCTAAACCCTAAACCCTAAACCCTAAACCCTAAACCCTAAACCCTAAACCCTAAACCCTACACCCTACACCCTAAACCCTAAACCCTCACCCTACACCCTAAACCCTGATCCCTACACCCTACACCCTAAACCCTAACCCTACACCCTAAACCCTAAACCCTAAACCCGAAGCACCCAAGACCCTGAACGCCAGGAGATTGTGCCGCCTCAGTCCGCAAGCGCCGCGCAGCAGTCGGCTCTTCGGGCGCAGCGCGACCAATTCGTGCAGAGGACCCGAAGCTGCACTTTGGGTTTAAAGTTGAGGCTGACAGGTTTAGCCTTGGGACTCGCGGTTACGGGTGCGGTTTAGAACCCTGAAAAAGTCTGTAGAACCTTAAGCCTTAAGCCCGGAATCCAAAAACTCTTGAATGTAGGGTTCATGGTTTACCTAGGCCCCACTAGTACAACTGAGGTCACGGGGCATCTTGGGTGAAGAGCCTTACAAACCCAGCCTTAGACCCTATACTTGGAGGTTCATGGGTAATAAGTACCCTGAGTAGGGTTATACCCATAGTTACCCTACTTATAAGCACCCCTAAGCCTTAAACCCTCAACCCTAAACCTTAAACCCTAAACCCTAGACCCTAAACCCGAATCCCTAAACCAGGATGGAGCAGCAGCGGATGGAGCAGGCATCGGGGCTTCACGGCCAGGGCATCAGGGTGAATCTGTGTGCTGATGTGGGGCCCCTGAACCCTAAACCCTAAACCCTAAACCCTCAACCCTCAACCCTCAACCCTCAACCCTCAACCCTCAACCCTCAACCCTAAACCCTAGACCCTAGACCCTAAACCCGAAACACTAACCCCTAAACCCCAAGCCCTAAACCCTAAACCCTGAGCCCCAATCCCGAAGTCCTGTAGGGTTTCGGGTTCATACAAATTTAGACCTCGCAAGTCTAGAGCGGCTGGATCGAGGGCTCTAAAGCCATGGAATTGTTCGGGGTGCAGAAGGTGCAGGATTATGTATTGTTTAGGGCGTAGGGTTTATGGTTCCTTAAACCCTAAACCCTAAACCCTAAACTAGGGTTTGCAAGGTTTAGGATTCGGGGTTTATTGGGCCCAGTTCAGGCGCGAAGCGTGCGGGATTTGACTACTGAAGAGCGCAGCCCGTCCTCGAGAATCTGAGTCCGCTCTGGAGGCAGCAGAGCACGTCGCTTCAAAGGAACCCTAAACCCTAAACCCTAAACCCTGAACCCTGAACCCTAAACCCTAAACCCTAAACCCTAAACCCTAAACCCTAAACCCTAAACCCTAAACCCTAAACCCTAGGGACCCTCCCCTGCCCAAGTATTGGGACCCCACCAGCTAGTCACAGTTTTTGGGACCCTAAAGTCACAGCTCCTTTCCCTAAACCCTAAACCCTAAACCCTAAACCCTAAACCCTAAACTCTAAACCCTAAACCCGCGCTCCTTTGTCACTTCTCTAAATGAGGGTCCAGAGAACTGACCTAATCCTAAACCCTAAGCTGGAGATCCTTGTGCTTGCCGGAGCGGAGCTCCACCGCGTGGGATCGTTGAAGGGGCCAAAATCCCCCGGGACATTCCCGAGAGGGTATTGCCTTCCTTAAGGGGCGTAGAGGGTGGGGGAGCCCGAGCCTCGGTTTAGGGTTTAGGGTTTAGGGTTTAGGGTTTAGGGTTTAGGGTTTAGGGTTTAGGGTTTAGGGTTTAGGGTTTAGGGTTCAGGGTTAAGCCCGAAAGCTCCAAAGGAATGGACTAAGTAGGCGAGGTTTTGGAGCAGGAGTTTTACTCCCAAAACCCTAAACCGATTCCGTAATCAGGGACCGTTCTTCACATACGCTAACCCCTAAACCTTCAACCTCTGAAGCCTGAACCCCTTGACCTTTTTCCCCTAGACCCTGAACCCCGAAACCCCTAAACTCCAAGCCCGAGCTCTTCCCCCGAAGGGTCCGTGGTCGCGTGGCCCCTCTTGCGCCGGGCCCACCCGGAGACCCCAACATCCCCTGAATAGAGAGTAGGGGTCCTCATATGAGTCAAGGAGTGTTCCTTAAACCCAAAACCCTAAACCCTAAACTCTAAACCTTAAACCAAAATCCTAAACCCTAAGTAAGAATTTGTTCGTTAGTTTTGGTGACGTTGGGGTCCCTGGGCATAGAGCAGTCCCCTTGCCACTCCCGTGCTTGGCGGGAGGTGCAGCTCACACGACGAAAAAAGATCCTTCAGGGGTTCGGCTCGAAACCCGAAACACTATACCCCTAAGCCCTCAGCCCTAAACCCTAAGCCCCAAGCCCTAAGCCCTAAACCCTAAACCCTAAGCCCTAAACCCTAAACCCTAAACCCTAAACCCCAAACCCCAAACCCTAAACCCTAAACCCTAAACCCTAAACCCTAAACCCTACACCCTAAACCCGAAACCCTAAACCTTAAGCCCTAAACCCTACCGGAGGTAAAGCTGCAGGAGATGTCTCTGTCCGCTGGGTAAGTCGAAGAATCACTCGTCCAGACGCATGCTGACGTGGGGGGTTGATCTACTTCTGGGAAATTACTTATGGTTCCGATAGAAAAAAGCAACATGCGGGGCTATTTTGGGGACAGGTCTGTTGATAAACTTACCTGGTGCTAGGCCTGCGTGTTCGTAGCGGCTCCCTTGAACCCTAAACCTAAACCCTAAACCCTAAACCCTAAACCCTAAACCCTAAACCCTAAACCCTAAACCCTAAACCCTAAACCCTAAACCCTAAACCCTAAACCCTAAACCCTAAACCCTAAACCTAAACCCTAACCCTAAACCCTAAACCCTAAACCCTAAACCCTAAACCCTAAACCCTAAACCCTAAACCCTAAACCCTAAACCCTAAACCCTAAACCCTAAACTAACCCTAAACCCTAAACCCTAAACCCTAAACCCTAAACCCTAAACCCTAAACCCTAAACCCTAAACCCTAAACCCTAAACCCTAAACCCTAAACCCTAAACCCTAAACCTCATCTCCTAGGCCCTAAATCTCCCCAAACCCTATGAACCTACGGACCTCAAAACCCAGGACATGTCCACACAGGCGCCCGTCTAATTGGTTTGGTGCAAGTGTTCAGATTTTTGGGTTTACTATAGCCCCCTAGGAAGTAGTTTTTTTTTGTATACCTACAACCCAAGGGAATATTAAAAAGACAAAAAAACCCAATATGCTTATTGAGGTTCTAAGGGGAGTAAGTATAGTTGCGGGTTCCGGGAAGCAAGGTGAAGATCGATCCCAGTGCGGTCAAGCACAAGCTCCAGCTGCCTTGACAGCAATTGATAGGGGCCCAAAAACCCACATAAACATAAGGATCCTACAAACAGGGTTTTTCGGAATCCGCCTTATAGGGGCCCTTATACCCCAATAGTAGGATCCTGATGTTTATTTGGTTTTTTGGGCCCCTAATTGAGGGCCAAGGTTCTAAGCGTAGTTTCATGGGCCCTTCAGATCGTCCCTTACCTCCCTTAAATTAAAGAGTTCTGAAGTATGGGCCCTTAATTTGTCTTGGGTATACACATATATATATATATATATATTTTTTTTTTGTTTTTTAAAGGGGTATATAAGGGGGACCCTCAAGGTTACAAAGGTTCGTCAGGGAGGACCTAGGGAACCTTAAGGGAGGCTTCGGGAGCCTTGAGGAGAAGTGGGGGTGTTAGGGAACCTTGGGATACACCCACTTTGAACCCCCTCCCCCCCCCCCCCCCCCCCCATAAGAACCCTACGAGCAAGGTGTAACACCAACATTGCGGGGATCCGCTGTGGGCCTTCATCCCTTTTTTAGGTGCTCAGAGGCTCAGAGCTCCCGTATGCGCCCCTTTACAGCGACAAGGGTACCCTCTTTACCCCAAGGTTACTTTGGGGATTTCAGATTCACAGCTTGAGAACGGTGCATCTGCTGATTGCCCACTGTTCATTCGCTTGCAGGCTCATGTGATTTCGTTCTCAAGATAGCCGTCGTTTCATATTGGTTTGTGGATTCAGTCACGAAGGTTCGTAGGAGCTGAACAAGATCGACTGCAACAGCCCTCGAACCCTGAACCGGTGTTGCAAGTTGGAGGAAGCGAAGGGTAGGACTCATTTCTGCACATCGGAGTCTGAAGCCGCGACCTTTTAACACCCAGGCTTTAGGGTTTCAATGGGGGTTTCCGAAATGAGGGGTACCTTGTTGGGGTAGGGGATCCTACTGTTTGGGGGTCTGTTGTATTCGGGGCTCTCCTACTTCGTAAACCCCCCCAAATTCGTGTGCACCCCCAAGCTCAAAAAGCTGGACTTTAGACCCTCAACCCTAAGCTTGAAACCCTAAACCCTAGAACCCTAAACCCTAGGCCCTAGGCCCGAACTTTAAACCATAGACCCTGGAACCCTAAACCCTCAGCCCTAAACCCTAAACCCTAAACCCTAAACCACCTCTTGGTGCAGAGGACTTGCACGGAGACCATGCGCTTTCTCGAGGAGGTGGGCCTGGGTTGGGGTTCCGGTGTGTCAACCCCAGGCCCCAGGTTCATGGGTATTTGTTAGAATTAGGGTTTAGGGTTTAGGGTTTGGGGTTTAGGTTTAGGGTTTGGGGTTTGAGGTTTGGGGTTTGGGGTTTAGGGTTTTGAGGTACTTGTAAGTAGGGTTGTAAGTACCCACAGCGAGGTTATCACCATAGTAACCCTGCTTGTATCCCTACTTGTAAGTACCCACGAACCTCCAAGTAGACCCCTACATCAGAAGTTCGAAACCCCAAAGCCCAAAGCTTAATCCCTTGGACCCTGAACCGTAATCCCGAGCCCTAAGCCCGAAACCCGAACTCCCCGGACCCTGACTGCAACCCCAAACCTTACAAACCCTAAACCCTAAACCCTAAACCCTAAACCCTAAACCCTAAACCCTAAACCCTAAACCCTAAACCCTAAACCCTAAACCCTAAACCCTAAACCCCAAGCATCTTAAACATTAAGCCGTAAAGCCCTAGCTGCCCCAAGCCCCCGAAGCCCTAGACCCGAAGCCCTTAAACCCAAATACTACAAACCCAAAACCCTAAACCCTCAACCCTAAACCCTAAACCCTAAGCCCTAAGCCCTAAGCCCTAAGCCCTAAACCCTAAACCCCAAACCCCAAACCCTAAACCCTAAACCCTAAACCCTAAACCCTAAACCCTAAACCCTAAACCCTAAACCCTAAACCCTAAACCTTTTGAACCGCAAATCCTACAAAACTCCTGACCCGAGCCGAGGTCTTCGCTACACAGCCGAGGCCGCGGCAGGCGCAGCACGCAGAGTGCTTTCGGTTGAGGGGTTTTAGGGTTTAGGGGTTTTAGGGTTTAGGGGTTTAGGGGTTTAGGGGTTTAGGGGTTTAGGGGTTTAGGGGTTTAGGGGTTTAGGGGTTTAGGGGTTTAGGGGTTTAGGGGTTTAGGGGTTTAGGGGTTTAGGGGTTTAGGG